CTTTCCCTTGGGAATCGCGCCGGTGCCCTGCTGGGGAAAAGGGGCACCTGCCACTAACTCGGCCCTTTGGCCACCTAAAGGGCTCGTTTTTGCGGGTCAGCCAGCGAGAAAAGGACCCGTTGCAGGAAGGAAAATCCCCTTCGCCCTCCCCGAATCCCTCCCGTCGGCTCCTACCTGCCACGTCGCGCCCAGGGCGAGCACGGGAAAGGTAATGATGGGCTTGTTGCTTGCGTAGCACTAATACGCCCCGCCGCAGCACGAGGGCGTGCGAGGAGGAGGAGGAGGAGGGGGTGAAGGGCGTCTCGGAGTAGCAAAGTGGCTTTGGGCTCAAAAATCCAAGTTATTTGAGAGGGAACGGCGGTGATGCAAGCGGCAAATGACCCCAGCGCACCGCTCGCGCTGGGAAAAGCGGTTTTAAAGCCGGAGCGCCGCTCGGCACGGCCGATTTATCAGGCTGCTGCCAAGAGCAGCGGAAAGAAACGAGTGTTGAAGGGATCCCCACGAGGGCCGGGGCGCAGCCCAGCAACGCGGGCGCTCGGGGCCACTGAAAGCAAAATAACCGAGTCCCCGTGGCCACCGCTCCGGGCAGCGCGGAGCCCTCGCCTTCCCGAGGCACCGGAGGAAACGGGAGATCTCGGCACTTTCCACGCAAATCCACGCCGCTTCCCAACACTTACGGTGTTGCTTTAAGCCTTCAGATTGCTCCGTCTTCCCCAAGCAGCTTTTCCTCTCCCCAGTTAAACCTCAGTCATCTTTCCCTTAAGGCCCCCAGGGCAGGTTTTCCAACCGCGCTTAAAAACGCCACCTTTGAGAGATGAAGTTTCCCGGGAGCCAAACACATTCGAGCTGCTCAACGTCCCAAAACGGAGCAGAAGCCCTCCCGAAAGCGCTTATCCTACATAACCCACAGGTTATGTTTTTAGGAGGGAGCTTTTCGGGCTTTAAAGGGATGAGGATCCTCCCATGTTCCCTACCCGAAGTTGTCTCACCAGCCCTGGCCAGAAAAGGCACCATGAGCAGGGAGAAAACCCACAGGGTTTGGTCACAAAAAAAGCAATCGCGCTCCACCCATTTCCAGAAGAAACTGACCCGACAGCGGGGCGGCTACCGAAGGTGAGTCGCAAACGGGGGCGCTCGGGCCAATTTTTAGGAACAAAAAGGACAAATTTGAGCACGTGGGGAGGCATTTCGGCCCCTCAAGAGGACAGTGGTCTCCCTGCATCCTGTCTGAAATAAAATTACACCTTAGAGGCTCCTGCGGGAGGTGAGTCACGGCTCCCGGCCGCGCCACGGTGGATTTTGTACCCGGAGCTTTGGCCACCGTCTCGGCGGCGCTTTCGGCTTTCGCCCCCGCGCCGCGAACCGCTCGGTGGAAGCGATGAATCAACGGCGAAAACAGGCGCCAGCTTCCTCCTGCGCCGGAAAATCCGCCCCAAATTCAGCACCTGGGTCCGGCGCCGCGTCTCGGCGTTACCTTTGGGAGCCCGATGCCATCGGAGCGGGTCAAGGGGGACCGGGAAAGTCCCAAAGAGGCGGCACGGTCCCCGGTGCGGCCGGGCCACCCGGCTGGCGGTGGCCCACGTGACGGCGGCTCGCGGGCATGTGTGACAGGCGACACTTCCTCCGTGACGCCGGAGGTACCGGCAGCGGCTCCGCTCCCGCGCGGAGCGGGAGGAAGAGGGAAGAAGAAGGGAAAACGGGAGAAAGAGGAAGAAAAAAAAAGAGGGAAAAAAAGGAAGCAACCGAGCAAGAATATGCAAAAAGCAAAAAAGCAGCGTGGTTGTTTCTGCCGTCACGGAATCAAGGCAGGACCAACTGTTGCCCAGGGGCGTCTCGGCCCCCCAAATCCTGCTCCTCCAGACAGGAGTACGAGGATGCACCGCAGCCAAAACCACACGGATTGACCCCATTTCACCGCTGGAAAAGGGGGAACAACGGGGTTTTCCTTGAGTCACAGCTGGTCACACCGGCGAGTTTGTCATTCCGTTCCGCACGGGTGTAAATCCCAGCAAAGCAGCGGGATCTCGGAGCAGACTCGCGCCGAGCCACTGCTGTCACGACAACGCGCGGCCTCAACGGGACACGTGCACCCGCGTTCCAACGGGGGCGGCGGCGCTTCCCGGCGCTTTCCCG